TTATGAGCGCGGGAGTTTACATGCAAACTCACATGCCATATCAAATCAATGTTTGGTCTTTTTCTTCGTCATAAGTACTAAAATTATTTCGACTCCTTTGTTATCCATTATGTTGATTTCACCTCGTCTTGCTGATATAATATGGCAGTCTAGGCCAATGCATATTAGCGCTACGCTCTCTATCGATTATAACTTACTGTCTAATTATCATATACAGTGCCGAGAAACGACAGCGAGAGATTAAAATGATGGATCGTTATTTTAAAATAATCAAAAAGACACGGTCATATAATTGACAGTTATCAAGCACAAATCTTATCGTTATTCACGGATGGTGAGCGTTATCCAAGAATTATATTTCTCGGTGTAGCTACACATGGACTTAGGACGCCCAATCTGTCAGTGGCTCACCGGAGATGACTAAATCCCTAAATATAGTAAATATGACATGCAAAATTACTGCGCCCAAACAAAAATAATACCTAACACTATTAATAGCTATCAGATCAGAAGATTCTTACACAAACTATCAGCATAGAAATAGGCTATCAAACTGAAGCGTAAAACAGGTGTCGTGAGACAGTAATGGGTGCGATTTCCTGAAAGTCGACAAGTTTTAGTTCTTGAAATGACTGATCAGAGAGTCATGTTCTAGTCTTGTTGCTAAGAAATTCCCCGCAAAAGTTGAAGACTTATATGCTACAACCATCTTAATTCACGTTTTGAAAACATAAAGTTCAGAAAATTTATCAATTAGGGCAGTTAATGTGTTATCCGTAATAAGCCACAACCAGATGTCCTGTTGATTGATATAAGAACAGACTTAGATCGGTCAGCTAAACCCATGATATCAGATAATGAATTCATTACACTGTGATAAGTTGGATAAAGAAAGCAAAATTCCATCCCAAGTTAATCGTACAGGTAGGCGCTCCTGGTACGGATGTGACTACGTTTCGTCCTAATCATATTATGTACACCACTCATATCTCGATTCCATTAATTTCTCCGAGTGTTTCATTGATGGTGGGGAACACACACATCGTTATTTTTTGCTAGTCATGCCAACACCAGGTTTGGTAATTTGGAACAATACGCATCGATGGATACAAGTTCTATGTCACTTTCGTATCATTCAGAAATACAATAACCAGTCCAAGACCCATGCATCTCTCTCACGACGAGATAATTTCTTCCATGTATATAAGAAACCAATACATCAGTTATATGAAAGGTAGGCCTAACCCACTTATTTAGTCAAAAGACTAAACTGACATTAAGTTATGAATTTTCACTACTTTCTTGAAGAATGATTTTCAAAATACCGTTGATGTTTGAAGAACTAGTCCTTAAAAGTCAGTTAAACCGCTACTTAAAGTACTGTTTGGTGAGGACGCTGATAAAATACAGTCTTTTGGTGGCACTAAGCAACAATACCAGGTTGTTTGGAATGCGTTCCTCCCTCTCTGAGTACAAGTTGTTTCTCCAGGACTGGCCCGCGTCAACACCTGAATTAAGGATAGGGAGTGAAGTGGTTGGACGCGTCGACAACTTCACTTATCTTGAAAGTCTGATCAGCCCTAATGGGTTGGTGTTTTACGAAACCTCTTCACAGACTCAAAAAACTCGTTTCACATTTGCCAACTTACGTCACCTATGATGAAGACGAGATATATGTCTATCAATTAAGGGACGAGTATACTGTGCAGCAATTCGTTCTGTCCTACTTTACGACAGCGAAACATGGCCATTAAGAGTAGAAGACACTCGTAAGCTACTAGTATTTGATCACAGATGCCTTAGAAATATTGGTCGCATCTGCTGGGATCAGTGGATAGGTAATAGTGAAGTTAGACGTGCAGGGTATTAGGGAATGATGGTCAATCAGTTGATGAGGTTGTGAATCTTCATCGACTGAGATGGTTGGGCCACGTGTTACGTATGCCTGAACACCGATTACCACGACGTGTAATGCTAACCGGTGTTGGAGATGGTTGGAAGAAAGTTAAGAGGGCGGCCAAACCAAAACGTCGCATCAGTCCCTGAAGTCACTAACTTGTAGTCTGGGCCATGTTGGTAGATGCAGACTACTTGGTTGGGGTCTGTGTGACTGTCGTAACCAATGGTTGGAGACTGTGGGTGACATGGCTCAGAATCGATCACAATGGCGTAGGTGTATACACTCTTTGTCTTCCCTTAAACCGTGAGACTGAAATTACTTTATGCCTTTCTTTCTACGAACTGATTCTCTCTCTCTGTACTATATCCTTATACACAATCTTTTTTTATATATTACTACCATTGAAGCAACTACTTCTATGAATTCGGTGTTTATCTTGTTGTGCTAATGAGGTGTGGCAACTTGGACTGATGCATATATGTGTCTGGTCCTACGTTGTAGCTAACTGACTAAACACCATGGCTGAGAAACCGGATCTAACATTGCAAAAATAATATTTAACTGATTTATACAAACGGAGAACTAAATTGCAGTTCATATTTAGTCTTGAATGGGAATCGTATAAATACAACGTACATCCATATTAAGACATTCCGAAGATATACTTAGACTTCTTGGCTATCTAATCTGAATCAGTGTGTGAAAGTTAGAGGCCAGCTCAAATGGCTTCAAATAAGCCGTATTAAATTTCATATTCTGTAGGGCGTTTATAAAATCGACTATTCAGCAACTTCAGATAACTTAAATAGAAGTTTGTAACATAGACGAAATGCTGAGTTGAAGGGTAAAAGTACACATAATGAGAATAAAAGAATGATGTAGTGTAAAACAAAATTTACATGTAACCACGTGGTAGCGAATATGATGAAAACGAAGCGGAAACAATCTCTTCGATGGTTAGCATCATTTTTGTGAGCTGGGATACTGCACAGACGTCTAAAACGAAGCACGTATTTTCCTTGAGGATATTTCCTGAGCTTTAGATCTAGGGGTTTAATCCACTAAGTAATGAGGAAACGTCAAATATGGTTTCATAATAGTCGATGAACGTTTATTTATCCAATCACGATCCTAGACCGTAGACATATGACTGCATTTCGAGAGGGAGAGTGAAATAACTAATGACTGGCTTCAAGGTGTAACTCCAGGAATTCTAGGAAGAAGCCACGACCAGTGAAGTCCAATCTGTGTCGGGTGTGAGACAGTTATTCGTCTCAGGCAGCTGATGAATGGTCGTACAAGATTATGGATCGACTGGTTAGAAATTAATACCGTCGGATGCCAACTTAACGATCGCGCACCAAACCAAAAGTCTTAGGTTCGAATTCCGCGTGAGGGACCGTGGGTGCGCACTGTTGATGAGTTTCATACTGGGACGAAACCGACGTCCGGTACTTTTAGGGTTTTTAATGGTGGTCTCGCTTACATCGACCCGTGATTTCAATTGTGGAGAGTGAGATCCCCCATCCATGGTCGTACAACGGCGCGGGGTTTGGTTTAATAGTTTTTTGAAAAGTAATGAGATTTCTTATAGCAAGAAATCATAGACTCACGGAAATTTCTACATCGATTATTGAACAACCTGGGTATGCCCAAGTAAAGTACATACTATTCTTAAACGTCTCTTAGTAAATTTATTTGACTCAATTACAGACGTCCTCTTCAAAATAACACTTCGTCCACCTAACTTTTTAGGAGTATTTCCCCATACGATGTCCATTTATCAACGTAGAGTACGCATATGACAGTTCTATTTGAAAACGCTGACAAGATCCAGTCTTCTGATCGCCTTCAGCAGCGGCTAGCGTGTTCGGGATGGGTTTCTCTCTCTTAATGTAAAATGTTACTTCAGGACTGGTGTGGGTCAAGGACTCAATTATTGATAGGCAGTGAAGTAGTCGAGTGTATCGATTAATTTACTTATCATGGAAGTTTAATCAATTCTGGTGGATTGATGTGCAATAAAATCTCGGCACGGATTTAGAAAGTGCGGCTGGGGTTTCTTAATTTGCGCCATGTTGTGGATGAGATGTCTGTCTAGTGACCAAAGAGCGTGTATCTTGTGTAGCTATCTGTTCAGATCCACTTTATAGCCGTGTCTATTACTATAGAAAACATGCTCAGGTTGCAGAGTTTTGATCAAACGAGTCTTTCAAAGAAGTGCTCACGTTTCATTGAATGACGGAGTGAGTAATATCGGTGTTAAGCTTAGAGTATGTGGGGAAAGTGGCAAATCGGTTGGTGTGGTTCACTCACTAAAGTGGTTGGGTCATATGTTATATAAATCTAACCTCTACTTATCTTGATGGATGATGATTACTAGTGCGGTATGTTGGAAGACTAGAAGCAGTCAAACCAAAACGTGACACCAACCCATGTAGTCATTGATTACTAGTCTGAGCCATAGTGGTATATACAGAATACCTGATTAAAGTCCGCATGACAACCGTGATCATTGGTTGGATGTCCTACAACCGGTCACAATTTTGCAGATACATTTACTTTATCTTCCATTCGATCATTAATCCCAGGATCGCTTCATACATACTTTTCTAACCATATTTATAAATTGTGGTCATTTTTTATTATTGCTAGTAAATTATGTTGATCTCTTTTATTTTCATCTCGTCGTACTAATATGGCATGGCAACTTGGGGGAAACGCATTATTGTGCCAGGTTCTATGTTGATGATCTTTGTTTATTTATGAATACCTCAAACTAACATGTTAGGGGCTATATCCGAATAAATTATTTCAATAATATCTTTAGGCAAATGTAAAATCTGAAAGGATTTTAACTACATAATAACTAAGTTTTTGACCAAAACATCATTCCAATCTAATGAAAGAGTGAGGTAAACGTAATAACAAACTGATTACAAATGTCCAACATTTAGTTAAAAAAAGGATTATACGATACAATTATTGGTCAGTAGAAAAGGTTCACTTGAAATGCAGTTACACGTGCAAAAACCTTATGAATCCAAATGTAGAACCAATAAAAACTGGTCAAGAGTGACGCCAATGTGTTGTACATAAATTATAACTCATCCGACTGGTGTGATTCTAAAATAAAATAAGCAAGAAATAATATTAAATATCAATTACTTTTAATTATCAATACCAAAAAGGACACCAAACTTGTGGGAATCAATTAACAAACGACTACTTAATATTGTACAGAGTTGTTGTAGTGACTAAGACAACTGAAACTTCCAAAAGGTTTGTGGGTTAGACTCATTATTAGAACAACACATATAAGCGAACAATTGTTTTCAATTAGATCGTCATCAGGCTTTACTCTAATATACATGAATATTTATACGAAAATGTTAAACCAATCAAGGCAATATGAGTCAATAATCACAATGAAATAGAATAAGTCTTCAACGATACTTACTATAGACAAATAGACGGGATAGCCATGGGCTCGCCTCTAGGCCCGATTTTAGCTGACCTCTTCCTAGCAAAGCTAGAAAACGGACCTCTCAATGAGACTATTAAGAAACTGGATTTATATTGTCGATACATTGACGACACATTCATTATCGTAGACCAAAACACTAGTAAAGAGGAACTCCTAGACCAATTCAACAGTGTTCACCCAGCGATCACCTTCACTGGTGAAAGCGAGCATGATAAGAAGCTGAGCTTCCTTGACGTCACGCTAAGCAGACGAAGTGACGGCACATTAAGTAGAAGCGTGTATAGAAGAAACCCCTCTTCATGCCAATATACTCACTTCTGCAGTTTCACACCCATCCGGTACAAGAGAAATTTGGTCAGATGTCTCACGAGCAGAGCAAAAAAGATCTGTACAGTAGACACTTTAAGTCAGGAGCTTGAATTTCTCAACAACTCACTGACCGAGATCGGCTACCCCAGCGCGTTCATCAAGAAATACATGCAGGATATAATAAAGAAGTCGGAGATTTCGACTGTTCGTAAGAAACCTTTATACATGAAAGTGCAATTCAACGGGGATGTGGCTAGTGACACTCTGAAATATAGGTTAACCAAAGTAATCACCAAGACATTCTACGCAGCCAATCTTGCGTTGACCTTCTCTTGTCGTCCAGCGATGTCTACTCAAACGAAGGATAAGTTACCTGAGTTGGCCTCTTCCATGTGCATTTACAAATTCAGCTACTCCTGTGGAGATAGCTATATAGGGCGTACTACCAGGCAACTTAACCAACGAATGAGTGAACATTTACCAACTTGGTACATAAAGGGTCAGAGAAAAACTATTCGGAGTTCTATACTAGCACATCTTATTGATAGCGGTCATACAGTAGAGAAATCGAAATCATTTCGAGTTATCTATCGTATACCTCCATCATTTCCCGACGGAGTCCGTTCCCGTCTCCTATATATAGCTGAAGCCATTGGAATTCGTACATATAACCCCAATCTATGTGTACAGAAGAAATACGTGACTCCCCTATCCCTTCCATGGCCAGTTATAACTTAACTAACAATTTTTTATTTTTTATTTTTATTTTAAATTTTATTATAATCATTATTTATTTTATTCTATTTGTGTTATTGTTAACCTTATTTCCACATCCATTATTTGTTTGTCATTATCCGCCTCTTTGTATTCTTCACTATCTAATTATTTACACACATCTTATTACGTAATGATTTTTAAGGTTTTGTGATTACTATTCCTAGTCTATTTACCCATGTTTATTTGACCTTCTATTTCCAACGATTAACTATTGATAAGAGTTTTGTTATTATAGTTTATTATTCTTACCACTATCTGTTCACCTGTCTTCGTACTATCAACTTGTACTTTTACCTATTTTATGTGTAGTGACTTATTCTATTTCATTGTGATTATTGACTCATATTGCCTTGATTGGTTTAACATTTTCGTATAAATATTCATGTATATTAGAGTAAAGCCTGATGACGATCTAATTGAAAACAATTGTTCGCTTATATGTGTTGTTCTAATTTTCACAATGGGAATCTTTAATAGACTCATTATTCCAAGAATCGATTATTACAATTACAGACAAGTAACCTGGTTTAAAGCCTTACAACTATGAATGCAAAATTAATTTAAGCAGAGCAGCAACTACAGCTTTTGCGGAATAAAGTGAATTCATTCTATTTCACGGTTTTTCATCAGCTACATACAACTTTAAGTTACAGATATTAATATAATTATTAACAAATGTTTGACATGCTTTACTTTGCGAAGTTTAGACGTTCACCACGCAACTAAAATCATTATGTATGAAGAAACGTAGATCGATGTGTATTTGTATGTTGCAATGTAATAATCCAGAGTAGGATAGGTGAGGAGAAAAAAATACTAATTCAGTACAACATAAGCAAACTATTCAAATATAAAGATGACTGTTGGGCGATACATGTATTAGGGTTTATAGGTCAATACAATAAGGTGAAAATTAACAATAAAGTATACCTTTCAAAGTCTTGGGTTACTATACATTGCTTGCGAATATTTGATTATCTATCTACACTTTGGAATCGGAAGAGACTATAAAATTGACCATTTGGTCAATGGATAGTGAGAACAAACGTAAATAATATTTTTAGGATTAATTTCAACCGATTATTTTCTTAGTTAAAGGGAATATTGACTTCTTTATGCTAAACGTTGAAGAAACTTGTAATGATCCTGTATCAAGTAAATTATTACATTTAGTTTACTTCACTGATAGATAACCTTCAAAACCACACCGGGTATCCATGTGAATACAAGTTTAAAAATTTGTATGATATTGAAAGCAAATTAAAAATTATGGTGGTTACGAGTCTACAAAATTGATCCTTGACTACTACTAATGGTGTCACAAACTTTGTGCATTCTAGAAACGTTTAGGGGACAGTGCTGGACATGTATAAAAGGTTTTGTGATATCAACAGTATTTTGAAAATGCAAGGAGAAAATCTTAGTTCAAACCTGGAGAATGTTTTGGTTGATTTGGAGATTTTTCATCCAAGCACCCTGAAAAATAAAATATGCCAATTCGTTAGTTTATTAAAAGAATAAATCACAGGAGCAAAACTACGACTGGCAGATAGGTTAAGTGTACACGTCAAAACTTGAGATAGTGGCACTGATTTAAGAAAGTGATATGAACAAATTAATAAACAAAGCCAACTGGTCCCCCGTACTACCTTTGAAATTTGGCTATAAGTTCATTATTACTGATCTTTTTCTCAGTGATTTCATATTGTCGATATATTTCCATGTTGAAAGTTTAATACATTGGTGTGAAGCACCTTAACTTATGGTGAACTCCAGCCACAAAATTTCCACTATATTTAAAGTTATCACTAACATGGTTAAAAACACACTAAACACATAATTTAGAAATCTCCAAAGATGTTATTCTCATTGGAACCATTGATTGACATTTTCTTTACTAACGGCATGTTATCTTTGCGAAGAAACTAACAGAACTGTGACCTATAATCTCCTGGGTGTTAATAAACTCGTGACTATTTGTCCCATTAGATAGGAGTTAAGTAGATCAACTTGCAAACAAATCAGTTCCATTCATGAACTGTAAATGACTTAATTATGACTGTTGTTAGGAAGTACAATGAAGTTTAGGGTTGATTTGTGGTTTTGTATTGTTTATTAACGAGATGATTGGGTATGTAGTTCCCACAAAGCATTGAAAAACCAGTGAACGAATGTTTACGATATATTTATCATTTATTGATTTGAGAAATATATACTTCTAATGAAATTCTATCCATTAGTACATAAAACAGTTACGTGCTGGACTCTCATTTCACACTGAGCCATGATTAATGTAGGACGAAGCTTCAAATCTTCAGCATCGGATTGTTTTTACTATTCAGTGGACCAGTGATTTATATAATCAGGTTTAACTCACATTTGCCTTTCCTAGTTAATTTGATATTAATTTTAATGATTATTTAGTGTGATAACCTGAACTATTGTATATGGCTCCTTTTTAATTTTATCAAAACAATGTTGTTGTTTTTTTATAAAAAACATTAGAGTTAACATTTCCTAATAGGTAGATAACGCGTGATAGCGTTTTCCCTCGTGATTGTTTGACTTAGTAATTGTTTCGAAAGTTAATCTGAAATATCATATCACAAACATGTTTAAAATGAAATCTCAGCTTTTCGTCTGAAATGTATTCATATATAACGAATTAACAACTTCATCCATTTGAAAATGACTTTATGAGCAACAGTTATGATTTTAATCGAGTCTGTCGTATTATTTTGTTAAAGGACAATGTTGTATTGTGGCTTAAAGGAAATGATAAGTTATTATTATTTAAAGACTTTAGTGGTTATGATTGACAACTGCAAGGAGTGAGCAGTATGTGAAACGCGAGTTAACTAGACGAAAAATATGGAGTTATGTACTTAAAGGCAAGTTTTCCATCGTAGGTTTATAGCAGTCAGTAAGTCTAGCACGAATTTATAAAGTAAATAACTTCAACTTAATAATTGTAAGAAATTGTTTGCTTAGCATTATATACAAACCTTTCATGATGTACTGAAACAAACGGGTGATTTTTATTTTGTAAAAATAGACAACTTTCAATCCCCAAATTTTGTGGAAATCTACATAAGTGAAGTTTAGTGGTTTCTAAATGTTAAAAAGGCTTGTAATACATGGTAGTTTATATACACACTCAAATTTCGAACCTTTTCTTGACCATCATGATTTTGGCAACCACATAATATCACTTTCTTTCACATAAAATATTTAATTAATAATCTAGTGATTTTCGTGCATTTGATATAGAACTCGCTGACAATAAACAAAACTAAGTCATATTTCACTGATTGGGAAATTTATCAGTTTACTTGAAATATAAAGTAAAAATGCACTCGGAACTCGATCAAAAGGTTATAAATGTCACATATAAGAAACATTTTGTTGAGACTGATCATCACGAATAAATCGAAAAATCACGTTTAAAAAAGTGCTAACCTTGAGAAGATTTGTCTAGAACATTTTCACGGCAAAGGTAATCATAAAGATTTATATCTTGATTGTTGTAAAACCATTCTTCTATAATGTCTTGGTATTCATTAACAAGTGGGATACACTTCTAAATTAAGCACTACTCAGTAGACTAACCTCCTTGAATAAGGCTGTGACTTCTGCAGGCGGTTTATCCCACAGCTCAAAAGGGACATCCAGCTTCACATCAACGCCACGGTTCCTGCCAAAATTAAAGAAACATTAAAAGCGACATACACCAGTTCCGTAAGAGACTTCATTGTCTGAGGTGTGCCTTTGTCAAATCTGCTACTGTCTTGACGCTCTTTATGAACTTTGTACTGAAGTAGCCTGTTGCAAATAGGAGGATCTTCCAGAACTTCATAAAGTCTGAGTTCTCTAATAAGTGATAAAGTAAACCAAGGTAAAGACCAACGATGTTTCATATTTAACCTTCTTTGAATCCCCTTGGACAGATCTTAAATTCAGAGTATCACTTGACTTGGTTTCTTGAAGACGGGACAGAATTTCTGTTACAAGAAACTTGCAAACTACACTTTAGACCAAATCAGTGTCCAACCTTCACATTTAGATGGTAAGACGAAATCAGTCATAGTGTCCCCTCTAACAAACGTAAGAAAGATCAGCAAGGAGACGTGATACAAAATCATGACACTAACACTGCTTTTTCGTCAGTCACAATCTTTCTTTCTTAATTGCAAAACCGCTTGGGACGGTTAAATCAGAGATTAGGGTGTGTATGGCTGGTGTTGTAGGTCTAACAAGCTGATATAAGACTGAAAAATAACAGGAAAAAAAGCTAACAACTTACAAAGCATACGGAGACACAAATAAAGGTATTAATACAAGCATACAAAAACTTCATCATACATAAAAGTCTAGAACAGACTTAAAAGTGACAAGTGTAACAAGATGACACGAATCCAAAGACTTGTTTTATTAATTAGAAATCATAAATTTAGACATTCGTCGGAAAGATGTACATACGCAGTCGTGCTATGGAAATGTTCCGAAAAGAATAATACTATTCTGGTTCATAACGACATAACAAAGTGCAATTATTAGCCAATAAATACTTCCAAGTGTGTTGTGGTGCATATTGGTCATCAAGGTACAGATACATACACGATGAATAACACTGAGCTACCTGTCGTCCAGACATATAATGACTTAGGAGTTATCGTTAGTTAAGACTTAAAGACTACTGCACACTGCCGTGCAATAGCCACCAAAGGTTTTAGAACCTTATGGTCAATACGTAGAGCTTTTAGTCATGTCGACGCTAAAACGTTTTTGACTTTGTATACAGTGTTCGTTCGTCCTGAACTTGAGTACTGCATACAAGCGGCTCGCCCCTGCTTAAAAAAAGACAGTGAGCTTCTGGAAAAGGTTCAGAGAACGGCGAATAGGCTGATTCCCGGAATAGCAAAGCTTCCGTATGAATCTCGACTGGCCAAGCTGAACCTTTTCCCGTTGTCATAACGCAGAACTAGAGGCGACTTGATTACAGATTTCAAATTGCTTAGTGATTATTTTGCACCTAATATGCCCTCATTTTTTTTGTCTTCCAAAACAGAGAATTTACGAGGACACTCTAAAAAGGTTCACAAGCCCAGAACTTGTCAGCTGACCATCAACTTCCCCATCGAATCATTAACGAGTGGAACTCATTACCTCAGCACGTGGTTGAGGCTCCATCCGTCGACTCTTTCACTTATGATGCAATAAGGCACTTCTGACAAACTTATTGTATATACATTAGCTTCTGTAATTACGTGTTACTTGCAGACAATTTGAACCTACGTGGGAAATGTATGAACTTTATTGTCGTTAATATAATGTTGATGTTTTCAGTAATATAAGTATAATAATACCATGGGGAACCAGGCTCTTTGTCGTTATTTCGAGAAAGTGACAAGGGTTAAAAGGCGAAGTAGGAAATTAACAAACCTTGAACTTGTTGTTTTTCCCGCCAAGTGGTTCAAATGGTTGTAGACGGAGTAGAAGAAGCTTTCGCTTAACAGGCTTCCGTGTCTAGTAACAGTGGATCACCAGTACCTCCAGGCAGGAACCTAGGTATAATAACGATAATAGAGTGGGGAAAAGAAATTGGTATATCAAATGGTTCAAATGGTTGTGGACGGAATAGAAGAAGCTTTCGCTTAACAGGCTTCCGTGTCTAGTAGCAGGGGATCACCAAATCCTCCAGGCAGGAACCTAGGTATGTTAACAATAAAAAAGGAAAAGAAATTGGTAAATCATAATGTGATGCTGTCCCTGGTCCTTAAGAATAGGTCAAGTTGCCTCTTGAAGGACTCCTGAGAAGTCGCTTGGACTAGCTCGGCCGGCAGCGAATTCCAGCTTTTGACAACTCTTAAGGAGTAGAAGTTGTGTCTACATTCCGTCTTGCTATGTTGTGTTTCCAGTTTCTGGGTGTTACCCCTTAGGTTATTATTCGAACTAAGCTTAAGTAGGTGTTTAAGAGGATGTCCAGAAGTGTTAAGAATGCTATAAGCCATTAGTAAATCACCTCTAAGACGCCTATATTCTAGTGGGTAAAGGTCTAGTGAACGGAGGCGTTCTTCGTAAGGCTTAGATTTGAGTCCTCGAACTGATTTCGTGGCTCGCCGTTGGATACGCTCCAAAGTGACCTTGTCCTTTTGGAGTGAGGGGGGAGTACTATGTTTCCGTACTCTATATGGGGACGAATGAAACTATTGAAGATTGTATGGAAAGTTCGTCCGTCAAACTGTCCAAAAATGCGCTTCAACGTTACCAGTGCAAGGTTTGCTCGGAAGGCATTTTTGTCACAGTTAGCGTAAGACTTTAAGTCATGGGGCATCAGGACTCCTAAATCCTTTTCGACTTGGGATACTACTAGAGAGGAGTTTCCTAAGTTGTAACTGTAGTTTGCGACATGTCTCAGATGGACTACTTTACACTTTGAAGTGTTAAAGGTAAGTCCGTTATCGTCTGCCCAACTTTGAAGTCGCGTCAGATCCTCCTGAAGTGCCTGTGTATCGACTTGGTTGCGTATCTCTCTCCAAAGTTTCACGTCGTCGGCAAAAAGTAGTAAGTCTGACGTTACCTGTTGAGGAAGATCATTTATGTAGATCAAGAAGAGAAGAGGCCCTAGTACTGAGCCCTGGGGAACCCCACTAGGACATTCCATAGCCTGAGATAAAGTGAAATTTACCCTAACCTTAAAGTGTCGATTTTTTAGGTATGAAGTAAGCCAATCGATTAGAGGTGGTTTGATACCTAGTCGTTTGAGCTTGTTGATAAGACACAAGTGGTTAACCTTATCAAAAGCTTTTGAGAAATCAAGGTAAATGACGTCAACCTTTCCCTTGCAATCGAGGATGCTTGTCCATTTGTCCACCGCAGTCAGCAGGTTGGTTATACAAGAGTAACGCTTCCTGAAACCATGCTGTTGGGGTGAGAAGAAGTTTAAGGACAGTAGATAGTCATTTAAACCGTCGCATATCAGGTACTCCATGAGTTTTGAAGGTAATGACAGAAGAGCCACCGGCCGATAACTTGAAGGTTCATTGCGTCGACCACCTTTGAAAATTGGTGTGATGTGAGCCAACTTCCAGTTTTCCGGTAGTTTGCCTCGGCTAAGCGAGTGTGAGAACATCACGCTAAGCGGCGTTGCCAGGATTGAGGCTGCCTCCCTCAGTATGGCAGGATGAATCATATCCGGGCCAGGAGAAGTGTCAAGTCTTAAGTGCTGCAATTTCCGGAACACCAAGTCAGCGCTTAGGTCCACTTTAGAAAGTCCTGTGGAATTGCAGATGAAACTGTCGTCAATAAAGTTGATGTCAGCCGGTTGAAATGTTTGAGAGTAATGGGCCGCCAGAAGGTTAGCGGCGTCGCCATCGTTGTTGGTCGGGCCGTTAAGACCTAGCAGTTGAGAAACTCCTGTTTTGGCTTGACGAAGAGAGGCTGCATGACGGAATAGGCTTCTAGGGTTAGAGGCGAATTTGTCCATAAGCTTTGTTTGGTACTGAAGCCTGTCTTCTCTTATAGCCTTCGTGCATGTGTTCCTGATATGTTTGTATTGCCTATACGCTCCATCGTTATTAGTTCGTTTGTATTCCGCCCAACAGTGCCGTTTGTGGCTTAGGAGGCGAACGGTACGGTTCTTGATTACTGTAGGTGGCTTGAAGCTTTTGGGAACCGTTTGAGGAACTGAATGGTCTGTAGCACATAAGAGCGTGTGCAGTAAGAAGTCCCAATGACCATCCACATCGAGTTGAGGGTGAACATCCCAAACCACCTGTTGTAGATAGTCATGTAGAGCTGGCACATTCAGCCGTTTAAAATTCCAACGCAAATTATTGTTGGGATACCTTAGCTTAGTTTTGATGACAAAACTGAAGGCTATGACGGCATGATCGCTTTTTCCCAGAGGAGCCAGGATTGAGAGGTTGTCGACTAGGAATTCTTCGTTAGTGAATACACAGTCTAAGCGCGATGGTGTCTGACTGTTTCTCCAACGAGTTGCCGACCTCACATTTTCATATAAGCCCAAGTCATCGATGAGGTTGAAGAACCGAGCTTCAATTGAATTGTCGCCTCCAGTGTACGTGTGTTCCGCGAAGTTGACTCTAGGGAGATTAAAGTCCCCTAGAATCAGGATGTGTGTGAAACCGAGACGGATAGAGCAGGATAGTCCTTCCAGCATACGACTGTCGTACTCGGTGTCGGCAGTTGGCTTCCTGTAAATGACTCCGACTAGACACCTGGAAGTACTAGACAATCTTACAGAGCACCATATGGATTCCTCAAGATTGTTAAACTCGAGGTTGTGAACCTGGTGCACCTCCAAGCAAGAGCTTATGTATATGGCTACTCCGCCCCCAATTCCTGTTTTTCTGTCGTTGCGGAACAAAGTCATCCCAGGCAGTGCTAACTCTTGATCCGAGAACTGAGAAGATATCCAGGTTTCAGATATTCCTATCAGATGGGCCTTATTAGCGTTGCTAAGTTCACGTAGTTCATCCAGTTTGTTTGGTAGACTCGCGGCGTTCATATATAAGCAGTTTATGCTTTCTATTTGGAACGCGTGAGCTTCGTCCTGTTTTTCTGTATGAACCTTATGTGAATGGACAGGTAGCCCACCTATGTGAGGTTTGCCGAGGTGATATTATACTTAGTCCTTAAGGTGACCTTCAGATTGCTTACAGTATCCTAACCCTTCTGGACATCGACTTAAACACCTAGTTAGGCTAAGTCTCAATACAAATCCATGGGATAACACCCAGAAATTGGAGATACGACATAGCAGGACGGACTGTAGACACAACTTCTACTCCTTAAGAGTTGTCAAATGCTGGAGTTCGCTGCCGACTGAGCTAGTTCAAACGACTTCTCAGGTGTCCTTTAAAAAGCAGCTTGACCTATTTTTAAGGACTCAGAACAACATCTTATTATGAGTTATCAATTTCTTTCCCCCCCCTATTATCGTTAATATGCCTCTTTGTTTTAATGGTCGACTGGATCATGGACACCTCGACATCTGAGGAATAGCGCAGAATACAATGGACAGCTCAGAGTCAACTAAAAGACTTGGACTTCGCAGATAACCTGGCCCTTCTATCCCATACATACCAAAAAATGCAAGTCAAGACAACTAGTGTAGCAG